TGCTCAGCAAATATGTACTGCGCTCCCGTGGCAAAGCCACTGAACACCAGAAACCAACCTCAGGAACTCTTGTCCCGGAAGTTTGTTCCAGGTCCACCATAAGACACAGGCGTTAGGTTGGTCCGCCGCTGGACTCCTCAGTCATCTCCCACACGCCATGTGTGGGAACATGGGAACTCCATGTAGCCAAGATTAATTGTGAACTTGCTTTTACACTTATCTATATGTGTGAGCATTTTGCCTGCTTATGTGTGTGTGAAACACATGGGTGTGTGGTTTCTGAAGGGGTTATCAGAGGCCCTGGCTGGAGTTATGAGCCACCATGTGGGTGCTGAGGATTGACCCTGGGTGCTCTGCAAGGGTAACTAGTGTTCTTTACTGCCGATCCATCTTTCTTAGGTATCACACCACCATGGGTTCCTGTGTGCGTGTCTGTGTCTGTGTCTATGTGTGCAAGGGAGGAATGATTGTGTGTGGGCATGTGCTTGCCGTGGTAGACCTGTGGAGGTCCGAGGACAGCTTTGTGGAGTCTTTTCCTTGTTTCCACCTTCACGTGGGTTCCACGGTTCAGACTCCAATGGTCAGGCTTGTACAGAAGTGTCCACCTCCCCTGACCTTGATCCACCTCCCCTGACCTTGAACTGCTCATCCGCAGGCTTCTAGCTTCCCAGGGTGGGATCTCAGTCATTTACCCCTATGCTCAGCTCCAGGGTTTGGGTTTGGTTTTCTGAAGACTTCTGCTGCGTGCCAGGGCTGGAGCATATAAAAGCCAGGCTTCTCTGCTTCTCTCAGTACTGCTTCCACTCTCCCTGGTCGGTCCAGTGAGGCCTAGCACTACCTTACTCAGATCTAAGGTGTCCCACCTCCTGGGCTTCTTTCCCTTCTAGTGCTTCCCTCTGGGCAGTTCTGCACATGCTGACCAGGAGAACTGTGAGGCTGGAAGACCGTCCATCCCAGAGTGGGGGCTTTACCTAAAGCTATCTTCTTGCTGTCCTCCATTAGTGCCCTCCCTTTAAAGAGCCCATCAGCTCTTGAAATTTCAGCAACACCTCCCAAGAGTTTGCAAAGTAAATGATGCAGGCCTCATTAACTCAGCCTCTGGGCTGCCCCCTCACTCCGTGAGCCACACTCTGATACATCCCATACATCCGTCCTAGGCTTTCCCAAGCTCGTCTCAGGGCTCACTCAGGGCCAGGCGCTCTAACGAGAGGTTACAGCTCTGGGATGCACGGTGTCTGAGGACGCAGCCTTCCGAGAGAGGAGGCTCTGCCCTTGTAGAAGTCTACATTTCAGCTCACTACATTTCAGTTTCTTCATCTAAGAAGTAGAAACAGTAACAGTGCATAATTCTCGGAGCTGCAGAAAAGGTGAGCTGGGGTACGAGACTGGGAGTAGATCAGGCAAAGTGAGCCGGGCTCAACCCTCAGCATTGTAACTAAAGAAGAAAAGGTGACCTCCAGATGAACGGAAAAAGCCTAGCATGCTGCCTGGCACACGGAAAGGAGGCAGTGCTAGCAAATATAGGCGAGCCTGGGGTGAATGCAGAAAGGAGCCTGTGTGGTTCACAAGGGGTGAAGACGGAGGACCTGTGGCAGGTGGTGCCAACAGGGAGCCTGGGTGTCCGACTCTGGTAGGGCTACAGGGAGCCTGCCTGCAAGGTCAGAAAGGATTTTCCTCAGTGGAGGGGAGGGGAAAGATCCCACGGCTCGACAACCTGAGTAAAGGTACAGTATGTGTGGGCCACTGACTGCCCGTAAATTCTTTCGTGCAGATCCTACCTAGTAGACAAGAGCTCCTCCTAAAGGAGAGGTCCTTCTGCCTCGGGCACACGAGCCGTTCATTTCCAGCAGCCAAGCACTGGCTGGACACCAGGCAGAGTTACACAGGACCATCTGCCTCTTCCCTGGCTCCTGGAGCTTCCAGCTAAGGAGACAACCGGACATCAAGACAAGTACACTCGAACGCAAGTGCTGGGAAGGAAAGAAGCAAGGATAACCCTGCAGACCGATGTCTCTGACTCAGGGGTGGAGGTCAGGAGACACGAGTGAGTCATGAGGAGGAAGAGTGTCCTAGAAAGAGAGCAAATCCTGAGCTGCGAAGGTGCTTGTCATACCAAAGAAAGGCAAAGCAAGCCAGAGCTGGAGGGCGTGGTCACAGAGGGGAGGAGTCCAGGGAGGCTAGGCAAGCCTTGGCCGGCCGTGTCAAACCTTGGTAAGTCATGGCAGAGTTTGGATTTTATTCTACATTTCTCAAGAGGCCATTGACAGGTTTTGATATAAGACATGACAAGACGTGGCTTGCATTTCTAAACCCCCTCCGGCTGCCGGATGGAGGGCAGCTGTGGACAGATGCGCCAGAAGGTCTGGGTTGGAGCCCGCCCCAGGAAAACAGTCTAGAGTCAGGATGTGCAGCTGTGGTGTCTCAGACTTTTGCTTCCAACAACACACATGCCCTGTAAGGTCCAGTCCCCCAGGCAGCACAAGAGGCTTGGTCACTAAGGTAACTATCCCCTCAAGCCCTTCCCATTTCCCCTCTCAGCCCTCATTCTCCTCCCTCCCTAAGTCTCAAGTTCCCGTATCTGACACCTGCCTTCTCAGGTCCTAGCCTGTCTCTTCTCTCTGCCCATTCCATCAACCACAATGTGTCTTAGCTCACTATAAGGAACATACTATGCGCGCAGACACAATTCTACAGGCCACTAACATAACCCAAGTGTTACTGTGTACTTGATACAGCCTGCACACACTCTGCATGTTACAGACAGATCTCCTCACACACACCCCCAGCCTGATAAGGACCCCATCCTCTGTCTCTTGAGCCCTCTATCCAGTCTAACCTCCCCACCCCCTCGCCAGTGACAGCTCTTGGTCCTCGGGTAAATTCCAGCTTCTTCAGCAGGGGCCACCTATGATACAAACCCAGAACACACCTCACATTCCGCCACTGCTCCTGTGGCTACACCACACTGTCCCCACACTGTTCCTGTAGCTACACCACACTGTCCCCCCAATGCTCCTGTAGCTGCACCACACTGTCCCCCCCAATGCTCCTGTAGCTGCACCACACTGTCCCCACAATGCTCCTGTAGCTACACCACACTGTCCTTCCAGAACTTGCTCCACATCTGCCACAGGACGTCTGAACATCCTGCTGTTTCCAAGTTCTTCGACCTCCCCTTTCCTTCAGCTGGTGTTCACTCTTCAGACCTTTGCCCAAATATTCTTCTTTAGAAAACTCTCCTATGGTCTGAGTCATGCATGCTCTCATAGGACTGTCTGGGACGCTGCCAAAGCACCTGAGTTTACAGTGACACATTTCCTTTGTGCAGATTTTTTTTTTCTGAGACGTGGAGTCTCATTATGTAGTCTATGGTGACCTCAAACACACCATCCTCCTGCCTCAGGTTCCTAGCACTAGGTCTACAGTGTTTTGTGTGGTTGACTAAGGATGATCACTTTGGGAAGCAGGGAGGTAGGGAGAGTGCTTGTTATAGCATGAAGACCTGAATCCAGACTCCCAGTACCCCTGTGTCAAAGGCCAGCAAGGCGGGGGCAGGGTGGGGACATTACCACAGGAAGATCCCAAGGGCTCACCGGCTGGCTGATGTTCAATGAAAGAACATGTATGAATAAATAAAGTGGATACCAGATATCAAACTGGATATCACAGGCGTGAACACTCATGCGTGCGTGCGCGCATACACACACACAAACACACGCACACACAATTCTTAGTTCAGGCTGGGGTATGGCTCAGTGGTCCAGCCATTGCCCAGCTAGTAGAAGGCAGTCCATCCCCAGAACCACCAAAGGCAAAACAAACAAACAAACAAGCCTAATTCTCCTCCTTTTCTTCCAGCTGGAAGAGGCAAGAGCGTGGTCTATTTTTGCTCACTGTCTCCCAAACAGAGGTTGACTATAACACAGCATGCCATAAGATCAGATGTGGAAAGGTTTCCCAAAATCTTAGATCTATTTTTGTGACTGGCAGGCAAAGGCTATTTGCCGGGAAGAGGGGCAGGGAGTGTCATGCCCACTTCACCACACGAAGCAAGTTCTCCGTACCTCCTCCCAGAACCCACTCCTCATGTCAACACGGCATTTGCTTCCGAGACCTGCCACCCTTCCTGCCTCGGTACTAGTCTCTGCCTCGGTTCCCTTCCCTCCTTCAAACCCTCTTTGCTGGGCAGTAACCACACCTGATTGGGTGTCACAAGAAAGCCGGTGTGAGAATTCAGAAAGCTACTACTCACTGGATATCACACAATAAACTGTGTTTCACAGAGTCCTTAAAACGGCCTTGTGAAGTAAACCGTACAAATATTTCCATTTTAATAGATGGGGAGGCCGAGGTTCCAAGAGAAGGGGAGCTTGCACAGATCGAGAAGCCTAGGAGAAGCAGATTGGAAACTGAACCCACAGACCCTTCACACCTAGTCCAATGCTTCCTAACATTTGCCGCCCCTGTAGTTCTAGTATCGACTACGTAAGGCTCTTGACACCTCACCGCTTTTCTGGTCCATGTGCATCCCTACCCAGAACTTGTCAGCTGTCTGGGCAGCAGGGAGGGATCCACAAAGCCGGCCACATTCTCAGGGGCTGTTCCCAGCCTCCCGATCTTTGCAAGGTTTCCTCTGAGCCACTGAGGAACCAGAGTCAAAACACAAAGAACCGCGCAAGGTCCCCGGATTCCCTCTCGTCCGTCCACCTACAGGATAACGAGGCAAGGCCAGAAGCCGGCATCTGCCCCCAACTGGGACCCGCGGACGGAGGTCACTGCTCCGGACACCGGGCAGCAGGCGACGCAGGGGATGCTGCAATGCCCGTGGCTCCGGGCTCGGCCCAAGGTCACCCTCCCCGGCCACCCGGAGCGCCACCTGGCGTCCCACGCGGGCCTCCCCCTGCCCTCGGGGACACGCCTGGAACCCCGGCTGGGGCAGGAGCCGGGCGGTGGGCAGAGGACCGAGGCTGAGCCGGGGAGGAGCGGGAGGCGGGGCCCACCTGATAGCTGAGGACGCCGTCCGGCTCGTTGCTCCCGGCGGGCATGGCCGGGCGGAGCCTGGTCTCGCCGGTGGGTTCCAGGTTGAGCTGTAGCAGTCCGCGCCCTCTGGTCCTGTGTGAGCCGATCGCACGCGCGGCGACCCCTGCCCAGGAACCAACGACCGGTCAACCATCAACCGGCGCCACCTTCATAGCCATCAGCCGGCGAGGCGCCCGCAGCAGCCAATCAGAGGGCGCCCCGAGCAGCCAATCGGCGCGCGGAGCACGGGAGGACGCTGTCCGGCGGTACCCTGGGCTACCAGGAAGAAGGGAGGAGGGCGCCCGAGAGCCAACCCCTCCCTGGGCCGGTTGCCTTAGAAACCGCCTCCCTCCCTTAGGGGGCCTCTGGGCTCTGAGGTCCTTCCTACTGCTCGCTAGGAACTGAAAATCCCTGCCTCTGTTTGCAGCTGCACCTGACTCTTGGGAAAGTGTCAGGTTTGCCTATTCTGATTTTATTCCTCGGAAGATGGGTTTTAAATTAAGAGAAAATTTCCCTCAGAAACAAAGATGGCAGGAGGAAGTAATGATGAGAAGAGAGAGCCTTCTAAAATTACTTTTTAACCCTTGAGTTAGTGGCCAGATTGAAGAGCGTTAAGGAACAGCAGACAGGAAGCAGTCAAACAGGCTGAGACTCGTGTCTCCTAGAGTCTAAGATTGACAGCCGACAGTGGGGGCTGAGCGGAGGATGATTTCAACTAGTCCAAAAGGCGTGCTGTAAGACAATTTGTTGTTTAACAGCAGAACTAACCGATCTGAGACGAGGTTGGAAAGTGACTCCATTTGAGTTTAAAAGGAAACAGAGTAGCTAATTATCCTTAGCGTGAGAGAAAGAAAGAAAGAAAGAAAGAAAGAAAGAAAGAAAGAAAGAAAGAAAGAAAGGGGCCTTTGTCTTGTATCTCCTGAGAGCGGAGGTGAGCCCACGTTATACAGGGGAAAGGGATCATTGCAATCATTCTCATCCTCTGCCAAACTGAAGAAAGGAACATGATCCAGTGCATGTCAAGGTTCAACCTTTATGGTGGTGCACCTCATCTGGCACTCAGGAGGCTGAGGCAGGATAGTAGCACGTTCAAGCCTGCCCTGGACTTCCTGGTAAGACCTTATCGCAAAAAAAAAAAAAAAATTAATTCAACCTCCACTTAATCAGTACACACTGTAATCAAAACAGGAAACAACATTGGGCCTTAATGTCCCTGAAAAGGAATTGAATTTCTGAAGCTGAGGAGATGACTCTGTTTAAAACGTTCTTACTATGTAAGTGTGAGGAGCTGAGTTCAATCTCCAGCATCCAGGAAACACTGGGTCTGGAGGTAAAAGCTTGTAATCTCAGTGCTGGGGAAGGTAGAGTCCTGGAGCTTGCCAGCCAGCCAGTCTCAACCAATCCATGACGAGCTGCAGATTTGGTGAGAGATTCTGTCTCGAAAATAAGACAGAGAGTGCTCGGCAGCTGGGAGAACTTGTTGCTGTTCTAGAGGACCTGGCTCGGGTTCCAGGTCCTACATGGAGGCTCACAACCATCCATAGTGCCAGTTCCAGGGAATCGGTGTGTCTCTTCTGGCCTCCTTGGATGCAAGAAATGAATGTAGGACACAGACACAGATGCAGGCAGAACACCAATGCACACTTTAAAAAAAAATAAGCGGAGAGCTATTGAGGAAGATATCTGCCATCAAACTCTGACCCCCACATGTGTACTTATACATGGGTACACACAGCAATGTGTAAAACACATACATGTGCACACGCCCACACACATCGTTTTATTTTTTTTGTTGTTATTTTTTTTAAGACTTATACATGTGATTACTCTGTTGCTGTCTTCAGACACACCAGAAAGGGGCATCAGATCCCGTTTCAGATGGTTGTGAGCCACCATGTGGTTGCTGGGAATTGAACTCAGGACCTCTAGAAGAGCAGTCAGTGCTCTTACCCACTGAGCCATCTCTCCAGCCCTCACATCATCCTTTTTGATCATCTGTAACAGGAACCTTGTCCAGTTAGCATCTCACAACAGTGATTTCTTTTCCCTATGCCTTTGTACTCCACACAGCCTCAGAGGTTGCTGGGCATCTAGAAGACTGCAAATATATGTACATTCATTTCAATCTATTTATACATGTATTGAGGTCCAGAGAAACGGCTCAGCAGGTGACACCATTTGTCACCAAGCCTTATGATCTGAGTTTGAGCCCCAGGATCTACACAATATAAAAAGAAAACCAACTCTTGCAAGTTGACCTCAGACCTCCACATGCACAGCATAGTGTGTGCATGCACACTCACCTGCCAAGGTGAAGACAGCAAACATCTCAAGTCTGGGGCAAAGATTGGAGAGTGGTAACACGCAGAGTAGCCACTGTCAGGCCAACACAGAAAATAATAGTGAAAAGAACAGTAGAAACAAATGTTGCAATTAGAAGATGCCCTTGTAGGGCTGGAGAGATGGCTCAGCGGCTAAGAGCACTGACTGCTCTTCCACAGATCCTCAGTTCAATTCCCAGCAACCACATGGTGGCTCACAACCATCTGTAATGGGATCCAATGCCCTCTTCTGTTGTGTCTGAAGACAGTGACTGTGTACTCATATACAAAAAATAAATCTAAAGAAAAAAGAAAAAATTAGGGTGGTGTGGGGAAAGGATTTTTTTTTTTCCCTTGAAGAAGAAGCAACAGCAGAAGCAGCAGCTCTTGTCAAACTGAGAAGAGCTGGTATCCTAGTTAGTGTTTTACTGCTGGGAACAGACACCATGACCAAGGAAACTCTTATAAGGACAACATTTAATTGGTCTGGCTTACAGGTTCAGAGTTCAGTCCATTATCATCAAGGCAGGAACATGGCAGCATCCAGGCAGGCATGGTGCAGGAGGAGCTGAGAGTTCTACATCTTCATCTGAAGGCCGCTAGCAGAATACTAGCTTCCAGGCAGCTAAGATGAGGGTCTTAAAGCCCACACCCACAGTGACACACCCACTCCAACAAGGTCACACCTACTTCAATAGGGCCACACCTAATAGTGCCACTCCCTGGGCAGAGCATATACAAACCACAACAACTGGATAATGGGTTCAGACTTTTTACTTTCCTTGTATAATAATAAAAAAGAATCAGGCCATTTAAGGTTTTAGGGATCCATCCCCTCCAGGCACCAGGACCTAGTGAAATAAATGTGTCATTTATCGAAGTAGCCATAGCATCTGCTATTTCTCTGTCTCACTAATAAGAAAATTGAGTCAGGGAAACTAAGCAACGTCTAGGTCAGGCAGTCACTAAGTGGGGATTCAATCATCGTTTTTTAATTAAAATGGCTTTACTGAGAGTTCTGTATCTGTGCGTTGGGTGCCGGGGAAACAGCAATGAAAAAAACCTGGGACTTGGAACTAGAGTGAGGAGACAGGAATCAAATAAACCGACAAGATCACTGTAAGCTATGGCAGCTACTGTGAAGGCTGTGACAGAAAGAACCCAGTTAACGAGAGAGGGCGCTCTGTGGAGCCGAGGACAGCTCCGGCGAGACCGGTGAGTCAACGTGAGCCTGCTTGGCTCGGGGGTTTCTGGATGACGTGCTGCACGGCCTTGAGGAAGTGGTGTGGTCTCCGTTAGCTACCAGAAGGTGGGATGGATGGCAGGACAAACCTAAGGCAGAGTGTTCATTAAACTGGCTCTGGCTAAAGGTAGCCGAAGGGAGGATGTGCTCAAATACCTAACTATCCCACAAGACAGGTCTCAGCCACCCACCGTTAAGACGGGGCAGGGTAGGGCAAGGAATGTGCTTTCCAGGTGTCCTCCCTGATTTCGGTTTAGTTGCAATGAGGCACGGCCTTTGCCTTTGGCCCTTGAGGGTCAAGAGCCCCATCTTCTGGCCGGTTGTGAGAATTACAAAGGTAAGTAGGCCAGAAACAGAGTCTGGCACAGCAGGCTCCCCTCCTAGGGCTCATTTGGTCTTTCTTTCCCTAGCTGGGCTGGCTGGCTTGGTGCCAGGTTTCAGTCGTCTAGCCCAAAATTCTCCCTACACTAACGTAATAAAGTACAATCGAGTGACTGAACCCGGTGAGCAAACGGGCCCTGGAGGAGCAGGGAAAAGCTCTCAACCCTTGTGTGGCCTGCAATGGAAGGGGAACGAAGTGGACGGGGGAAAAATGCAAAACACACAAGAGAGACAAAAGCTGTACAGACACACCAAAGTTTCAGGACCATGGGGACAACCTCACCTGATCCTCGCCACAACTCTATGAGGTAGAATGAGGCAGACTCTCATCCCATTTCACAGATGAGAGACTGAAACTCATATGTGTTAGTCGACCCCAGGTCACCCACCCAGACCGTCAAGTGCACGGAGCCGCTGGGGCTAAAGTCAGCGGTAGCGGCCCCCGGAGGGTGCGCACGCGCGCTTACATCCTTCCCTCAGGATGCCTGGGAGCTTCCCTGGCTTTTATAGGCCCCACCTCTTTGGCCTTCCAGAGCTCGCCTCTGCTTCTGTCAGCTCTTTAGCGTTGGTGTAAAGTCCGGGAAGAGGAAGCAGATCTAAACTCCTGGATACCCAACAAGTCTCTTTCCAGGTAAATACACGGAGCCCAGAAATTTGCATAGTGTAAACAGACACAGTCAGGGACAGGGTGGTTCTGAAGAGACTCTGGAAGGCTAGGCCATCAGTGTGTAAACATTGTAAAGTACACTTCACACAAATTAAGATGGCCACCATGTCACTCAGTGACACAATCCTAAAGGATGACAGTTGTTCATGTTTTCTCTTCAACCAAAAAGTCTTTATGTGTATGCATATGTGTGCATGTGTGTACATGTGTGTAAAGTGTGTGAATGTGTGATGTGTGTGAATGTGTGTGAATGTGTGTGCATGTGTGTACATGTGTGTGAATGTGTGATGCGTGTGAATGTATGTGCATGTGTGTGCATGTGAGAGTGTGTGAGTGTGAATATGTGTGAGTGTGTGACTGTGAATGTGTGTGAACTCATGTGCATGTGTGTGTATGTCTATGCATGCATGTGAGTGTGAATGTGTGTGCATGTGAGTGTGCACGTGTGTTCATGTGTGAGTGTGAATGTGTATGCATGTTTAAGTGAGTGTGAATGTTTGAAAATGACAAAATGCCCAGCCTGGTCTACAGAGTGAGTTCCAGGACAGCCAGGGCTACACAGAGAAACCCTGTCTCGAAAAGCAAAAAAAAAAAAA